TTGATTTTGTAAGTTAAAAAAAAAAAGAGAGAGAGAGAGAGATAGAAAAGAGAGTGAAAAAAAAAAGAATTAAAAAAAGGGTGAAAAAAAGTGAAAAAAATCGAGAATTTCCTAACATTGTTTTGCAGGTATATTTTAGTGACTGATCAGTACCACGTCTCAACGAACACGAGAATTTTCTGTCTTGGCATCTCAACGAATCAACATAGCGTCTCCATTAACGAGGGAAGTTACTATTTTATCTATCTTTGGTTTATATTACTGTTTATTTTAAAATTACATTGATTAATTTCTTTGTACTACGGTATTCCTCATTTTTACCTAAGATTCACATAACCGACGCCTTAGACCTATTCAAACTCGTCTTATTCACTTTTCATTTTTGACCTTTTACGCCATTACGTTGTTTATTAGTATTTGACCCGTGCTTTGTTATTTAACATAGATCAGCAGTATTAGCTTGCCTTATTAGGATCTAAATAATCCTACAAAAAATAAAATAAAATCATAACTGCTCAAGTTTATATTGTCTTTTTGTGCAATTATTGTTCATTGATCTCCTCATACATTGCATTTAGTTGTTATTACATTTGCATGCAATTGCAGGTGGTCATCTTGTCATCCCTAGTGCTAATACTTTGACCATGGATCCTTCCCAATTTGATGCACTATCACGACAATTAGCCCAAGATAACAGTTTCAGACTCAATTAGCGACTGTCCAATCCAATATAGTTGCTACTCGTGAGGAGAGAAAAAACCTAGCTGCTAAAATGAGCCATTTTAATCAAATTCCTTATTCGACTGATGTTCATAAATCTAAAGTGATCCGTAATAGACAATGCCATCATCGACAGAGTGATCAAAAATGCTTACGACACGATCGTAGGGATAGGGATCAGGTTTGAAAGCGAGAACGAGATTGTAATCGTCACAGTACTCATTCACTTTCTTGTCATAAGGAGAGTTTCTTTAGAGGCATTAAATTAGATATTCCTACTTTTGATGGTTGCTTAGATTTTGAAGTTTTTACTCAATGGACTGCTCTTAAACAAGGGAATCGGTTAGTGAC